GGGGGGGGGGCATGCCCTCTAAATAAACTTTTAGAGCTCACACCCGGGGAGAGACAGAGAGGCAGCAGAAGGCTGAAGTCATCATCAGCAACAACAGGCGGGAGGACAGTGAATGAGTCCTGCAGGCGAAGCAGAAAAGCGCTGAAAAGTGCGGGGATTGACTCTGGTTGCGCCTCACTTTGCGGAGATCAGGAGACGTCAGGCGCACCGTTTTCTTTTTTCTTTTCTTCTTTTTTCCCTTTTCTTTAAAAATAATTACTGGTTTATGCCTTTATTTTTAGATGTTTTTTAATCTTTCTTGTGCTTTATTTGATGCAGAGATGAAATCTTCTGCGCGCTTGGCACATTAGTGTATCCACACACGCGCGCACACATACACGCCAGGGACGCACGGACACATGTCCACTCAGAGGAGTCCACTTGGAGTTCAACAAATGGATTTAAAGTGTCCGTCTCTTGGAAAGTCGCGCTGATTTTGCTTCTGGTCTGTTCTAAACTCTTTGGGTGATGCTCGGTTCCGCTCGGCTCCTCGTGCGCAACAGATGACACTGAGGCGCTTTAGCGCGTTCCGTTGCGTTTTGACGGGAATGCTCGTCACCGCCGCGAGGAGAACGGCTCACTGACTCAAGCCTGGCGTTCTTGGCACATATGTGGACCCTAACCAGGATGTTACAGTCTAAACGGCCCAGGCATCATTGGGCCGTCGTACCCCACCAGAACCACAGAACACCACACAGCTGGGCATCCTGCTGCGCTTAGGAAGTTCTCTGCTTCAGCTTTTGCTTCCCTTTTTTTTTATTGGGAGAAGTAAGAAAACGAGAAGAAAATAAAGACAAACATTAACATTAAGAGTCTTTTCTCTGGGCTACTATGCAATTACAACTGATCTCCTTTGTTTGGATCATCTTGCACTGCATGGATTACACCGGTTGTCAGCAGCACAGCAGCTCCAGGCACAGAACACATAAACGTGAGTAGCTTTATTTATTCTCCCTCAGCACAAAGCCTCGTGAAAATTAAAGAAAAACTAAAACCTTTAAATATATTCCAGACCTAAAAATCCAAATGGCTTCCATGCTTCACTCTGTAAAGTCTTTTATTTTGCAAAGAAATTTAAGCAAATATGTATCTCTCCTCAAATGTTTTTTGCTTAATCTCATTTTGAGCTTATTTTTTTAAATAGCTGTAGCTAATTAAGCCTGCACACGTGGTGAAAAACATCAAGACAAAACAAATCGTTTATTTTAAAGTTCTCAGCGACATCCATTTCATTTGCTTGATCAAGTGTACAAATTAGGAATTTACTCTTCAGTTGTTGAAATGTTTTATTTTATGGCTCATATATAACTTTTTAAAAAAAACTCTTATAGGTCAAAGCTGATTAGTGATTTTTATTAAGACTTAATTGGATGGTTGCAGTAACGGGGCACCTGAAGTGCGCAGCCGCCTCTGTGCGCCCTGACGCCACATTTTGACTCTCCTGCCTGCGTCGCTCTCTAGCGGTCAGAGCGACAGATGTTTTCAAACTCATCTCAGGTCTTTCATACTTTACTTCCCTTATTTGGTGGGATTGGTGGATCTTTTGTTTTTCTTATGACCCCCCCCCCCCAACCCAATGATAAGATGAAATAAGAATCAATAAAATGTTGTTTTTTTTTCTGTTCTGCCCACGCTTTGTCACTGCAGGGCCTCCAGATGTGCTCTGTGACTAACTGTTAAATCACAGCAGTGATAGCTGGAATATTCCGTGCATCACTTGCCAGCGCGTCTGAAAACAGTCTGTAATCTGTGGTGCTGTCGGAGTGGTGTTTCTATCCGTGCCACCCGGGATTGAGAGCTCTCCCCAGCGCGTGCAGAGCTCCGTGTTCCACTTCTGCTGCTGTCAGATTATTGTTCCCATTGAAACATGTGTTTATAGTAGAACATTTTTGGCATCATCTGATCTGTTTTTAGACTAGTGAGGATTGAACACAGCGGGAGAGGTGAAAGTTGGAAGGTTTGATAAGAACAATAAAGTTTTACTTTATTGTTGAATAAGCAGTCATTGTGGGTTTGCAAAATTATAGGTTTTAGAGCGCTGATCAATTTGTTAAATGAAAGGAATGCACATCACCTTAAATGTTCAGGTTTTAGATCATCTCCTGTTGAGAAGTGATTGTGATCTCATATAATATTGTAAAATATGTCAGCACTCGGGGTGTGTGTCGTGAATGACTCTCAGCTACTACCACACCAAATTTTAACTCAGTTGCCTGTAAAATTCACTTGAGTTGTAGCCTCTTTTATGTCTGAGGTCCATCACCTGACTCCAAAAGTGAAGCAGCAGATGTCCTGATGCATCTCAGTAATCCAGGTAGAAAAAAAAATCAAAAAGAAAAAATAAGTAGGTCCTCTGGATGGGTTCTTCTTTAGTGAAACGTTTCGTCTCTCCTCCAAGAGACTTCTTCAGTCTGATGAGTTTCATGTGAAACTCAGCCTTTTAAGCACTGCCTCCACCTGTACAAACAGGTTAGTCACATGCAAAAGAGGGTCATTGACTAACAATACACAGCAAAAACAGGAGTGTTAAAATTTCAGTGTTAAACTTTTGGGTGTTGATTTAACACCCTCTAGTGTTTTTTAAACACTTTCTGAGTACACTCACACCCAGTGCTGGTGTTAATTGACAGTGTTGATTTCCTCAGTGTTGTCTCAACACTGGACAGTGTTAAATAAGCTCCGCCCACAGTTAAGTCTTATGTAACACTTAACAGTGTTGTTATATAACACCATGCAGTGTTGAAAGAAGTTTTCTGAAAAGCCCCGCCCTCTTCCACCTCATGTCAGACAGACCAGCATTTACCCAGCATTCCTTGCTGAGTAATCTTGCAGAAATGATGTTTTTGCATGTTTATAACCATTAAAGACATACATGAGAGTAAAAATTAGTTGTTCTGGTTTGTTTTCTTGTTCAGTTTGATCAAGTTGTTCAACTTTAAGTTCATGTTATTGGCCAAAAATTGACACCATGAGTGAGAGATATGTCCTGGTGTGTGAAGGGTGGCTCCATCATACCTTTCTACTAACTACTGAGAGTTTGATATTAACTCTGAGTGCTAAATTTATACTCTCAATTTCATGGTGTGTTGACACCTTGTGGTGTCTGTAAACCTTTATAACACCACAATTTCCTTTGTTAATAATGATAATACACTGGTGACACTTTTAACACTTTTTAACACTGTCAAAATGTTAATATGACACCCAGTATTGTTGAATATTTAACACTGGCTGGTGTTACTTTTAACACTATATTTTAACACTAACACTATTTTATGTTAATATGACACCCAGTATTGTTGAATATTTAACACTGGCTGGTGTTACTTTTAACACTATTATTTTAACACTAACACTGTTTTTATGTTAATGTGACACCAAGAATTGTTGAATATTAAACACTGGTTGGTGTTAAATTAACAAAAAAATGAGTGTTAAAATTTAACACTTTCACAAATGTTATTTTAACACCAGCGAGTGTGGACACATATAGACACTTTGCTGGTGTTAAAATGAACACTGTGGGTATTAAATTAACACTGCCATTTTTGCTGTGTAGGCTTGATTAGCTCTATTATTTGCATGTGACTAACCTGTTTGTCCATGTGGAGGCAGGGCTTATAAGGCTGAGTTCACCTGAAACTCATCAGACTGAAGAAGTCTCTTGGAGGAGAGATGAAACGTTTCACTAAAGAAGAACCCATCCAGAGGACCTACTTATTTTTTCTTTTTGATTAAGCAGCAGATGCACATCCAGTTGTTACTTTCTGAGAAGTTTGTTAAAATACGTCTGGTGATTCCTGAGACATTTTGCTTGGAGACAAACAGTGTCAAAAATCAATAGCAAAGTTTTAAACAAAAAGATGTGTTGCACTTATGTGTTGGGGATGACTCTTGACAAATACGAGCTCAATTTCAAGCCAATTTTGTGTTGGTTAACGCAGGGGTTCTCAGGCCATTTGGGTCTGGGGACCCCTCACAAGGGCAACAAAAATTCCAGGGACCTCCTCATAAACCCCATGCTGTTTTAAAAAGATAATTTATTGTCATTTCAACCCCTAAATGCTACGGGAATATAAATTTTTATTAAGTTTTATTATGTTTGTTTTATTAGCTCATTGATCTCCTTGCATTTTTAAAAATAAAAACCAAATTAACATTTTAGTAAAAAAGAATTTTTGAGGACCCCCAAGATACCTCTCACGGACCCCAGTTTTGAGAACCTCTGGGCTAAAGTCTATAAGTGCTGAATAGGGTTGACTTCAAAATTGTTTCAGTAGATGCTTTAATGATAATAACTATATATCAAAAAACACATGGAGGTTTTACAAAAGAAAATAATTAAGAGCAAAGTGTTGAAAGTTTTTTTGAAGAAGTGAGTTTTTAGTTGTGCTTTCAAGAAGTCCAGTGATGTCTCACTGCACATCTCAAATAGAAAACAATTTTCAGAGAGTCCCGAGAGCTACTGAGGCTGACAAAAAGTAGAGCCTTGGCTGACAACTGGCGTTTCTGAGACTGTGAGTGGAGGAGCTCTGGCAGGTGCTGAGGTCAAGGTGTTGGGGGATTTGTTTTTGAGATGAAGGATCTTGCAGGTAATTCAGGATTTAACAGACAACCAGTGGAGTTTTCTGATAGAGGGAATGATATGTTGGTAAGATTAGATTGTGTTAGGAGCATACTGGACTTACTGGAAACTGTCTAAAGGTTTGTTAAAAATCCCACACAGGTCTACATTACAGAAATCCAGACTGGTAATAAAGACATGGATTAAAATCTCGGCTACAGAGTCTGCTAAAGATGGCTGGAGTCCTGTGATGTTTGTCGAGTGGGAAAAAGTTCTTTTGGCAACCGGATTTTTTGTCAGCCTGAAATGAGAGTGTGGAGTCCAGAATGAGACCCAGGTTGTGAACAAATCTTGGGATGGTACAGTAGGATGGGGCCACCATTAGTGTAACTGAATAGGAGCCCAATTTTATGGCCTTGTGGGCCACAAACAGAAGTTCTGTTTCCTTACTGCCAAGTACATTTATTCACATTCAAGTCTTAATTACATTCAAACAGTTGGCATATGAATTTTGAGGAAACTCAGTGAAATGGATGGTGCTAAGATACAGTTAAGGATCATCAGCATAGAAATGTAGTATAGACCAAGGGAGAGTGTATCGATAGTGAAGGAGGCTGAGAACCGAACCTTGATAAATCTATCAGGTGGTTGCAGAAATATTTTGCTGACACGGAAGACAAAACATATTTCTACATCTTTCACTTTTTGTCAACAAGCCGTGATGTCACTGCAGATGGGATGGCAGTAACGCAGCGTCGTTATTTTTGTGTAAAACGATGGCCACCACCACCCAGCCACCCCACTGACTAAAGGCTGGTTTATACTTCTATTTGTCTCCTTTACAGGGATAAAAACTGCACAACTTACCACCCGCTGATGCCCCGTCTTGTATATTGTCCTCAGTCAGAACTCTGTCTTGCAGACCTACGCCGCTCGCATTGTATGATTGGTCAGAACTTTGTGGGAGTGTTTATTTGAATCCAGCACATATGTCTTTTCACTGAACATGGTACACTCCAGTTGTTATAATAGCAAGATGGACAGCTTTGAGGAGCAGCTTCTAATGAGCCCTAATGAGCACATGAATGTGCCATCAATGTCCACGGCTTTTTCTGTCTCCAAGGTTAACGGGGAAAAAATCCAACATGAATCTTTCTTCCAACATCTAATACATGATTCAAGTGGGGAAAAAACTATCTATTGTGCTACCGTTGTTTATATGTTCAGCTAAACACAACATAAGCTATACTGCAAAGGCAGAAGAAGGGATTATGATGATTTTCCCCAGTGTCTTCATCCTGACAAAAAATATTTGGTGAGACAAAAACGTCCAAAATGATGTAATCCCAGATCCGTTGTTTCACATCTTGTTGAAGCATAAACCAGCCTTTAAGATAAGACTAATTCCTGTGTTCTTTTAACAATCCAAACTTCCTCTGAGGATCCAGATATCTAACACTTTATATCCGGAAGGATGATGGAGGGATTAGTTGGTGAAAGAGTACAGACCTTAGAGAAGTTGGAGGGGGCAAAAGTGACTGCTTTTAGGCGGGAGGGTCAATGACCATTCAGCTAACAGACCAGAATTACCATGACACAGATGGGTCGCAAGCCCCAAACTTCCTGTGTGTGATGATGATGCCTCCAAAAGAAATGAAGGTCTGGGTACAGACAGTGTATCATACAGGATGTTCCCTCATGGAATCCACAGCATCTAGCCTTTTCTGCTTCTCTTTTGTTTCAGTCATCATTTCCCTTTAATAGTTTGTTGTCTGTGCTTGAAAATCTGTTTATGTCACACGTGACTCTGTTGATGCCATTACGCAAGGCGCTGCCATCCATCTGAGGTTTTTTGTTGGTGCAAAGTGAAAGGGCAGGGCCGAATTCCTGCATCTGAGGTTTCTGTGATTCAGGGGCAGCTTGGCAGGAACACGTGTGTACAAACAGACAGCACTTGTAAAGACGGTCAGGATATTTCAAACAAAGCATCCATGATCTATGGTTAACTGGCAGCGGAACCCTGAACTGAGCAACACAAGCGAGCGTGAGCCAATGAGATGCCAAGACAGGAGACAAAAACCAAATTCTTGTGTGCTTGAGTTGTTTTTTAATCTACCTACCATATGTAGCATTTTTGAAACACTTTTGGGAAAGGCCAACAAACGTGGTTGGACGGACACATGCAAAATGGGAAATGTCTTGTGGTTGTTCGGTGGTTACTGTTGCCAGCATCGGATGCAAATGTGTCTGACACATGTTGAGTCTACTTTTACAAACACGAGAAGTTTGCACCACATTTAACTTTAGGTTCTATTTCCGAAAGCACTGTCAAAGATGTTGCTTCATATACAGATTTACAAAAATACAATAAATGTGCAAACAGCTCAGGACTTGTTGCTGTGTCTGCTGGTTGTCAGAGCAGTGAACACAAAAACATCTATAAATGTGGTTGTATCTGATGGTGCTCCTCATCAATTTTTGCTTAAGGTCCTATTTACATGGTAATTTCTCTCAAAACAAAGAGTTTTTTTCACTGTTGATTCTGGGAAATCAACATTTGTAAAAAAAAAACTGCTTATATCATTCTGCAGTAATTTTCATACCAGCCAGGGCTGGCAGATAGGAAATGAAGAACTTTAAAATGATTGAATTTTGACCCAAACTATTATATTTGCTGACTGGGGATGGGAGGTTGTACGATGTGGTGTGTTGTGCATGTGAAGGAAGGGGCTGAAAAGTTTAATTATCAAATTATCTCGTCACACCGATGGCGAATCCAGAAATGTTCATTTGGAGCCAGGATGAGATTGGGTTGCTCCAAATAGGACAGATAGAACTTTGCTTTGTGACACCCTGCTAGTCATGCAGGCACAGAAAAACTATTGACTGCAGCCGCAGGTGGTGCGCACAGCAGTGTCACACCTTCCGGGACAGGGTTCCTCAAAGTCTCCAATCTGAGACCAGGACTCAGAAACCTTTAGTTTCAAGGAGAACAGCTCGGCTGTCGTGTAAACAAACAGCTGAACTGCTGCAGAAAATCTACGATTTCACTCAAAATCCAAACAGCCTAAGATTTTGGCATGCAAAGTGGTGGACGAAATTCATTCCTTTATTTTGATTGATTGATTGATTGATTGATTGATTGATTGATTGATTGATTGATTGATTGATTGATTGATTGATTGATTGATTGATTGATTGATTTTAAATGGGACAGTGCACATTAATGATTGTACAATGTTCTCGTAAATATACCAGATTTAACAAAATGCTGATTTCCATCATTGTTCTATAAAACGTTTTAATAACATTTCTTGTATCTTTTGTATTACTGCTATGAGTCATTAGTTTACAACTCAAAGGGCTATCATAACCTCTAAATCTGTTAACCAGGGGATATTAAAAGTTTGATTTAAACATTTTGATATTGGGTTTTTGGAAAGGTTTTGAACTGTTTTGTCTTACCTGTTACGAATAGCTTATTTTTTTATTATTTCAAAATCTGAAAAAACACAATTTAATCCTGGCTAGATTGATGATGATCTTAAAACAGCTCCAATCACAAAAAAAAAAGTAAAAGCAGTTCAAGCATACACTGTTTGCATGAACCACAATGAAACATTTGAGACTGCAGTAATTTAAGGATGGCAGTAACCTACTTGGTTTTGGCTCGACTCAGACTAGCAGTTAGATCATCGATCTCATCAAAAATAAAGTTCTGTTTCTCCAAACTAAAGTAAATCAAACAGCTACCTACGACAGGCAAGATATTAATTATTTATAAACTTTCTCCACAACACTGAAAAAAATTATCTAAGGTTGTAAACATCAACACAGAATTAAAATTATTTAAAGTTCAATCTATTGCTTCTAACCTTGGAATACAAGACCAAGTGAAATATCCAACAGAAACATGAAAGACAAGGATAGAGCACGTCATCATCATGAAAGAGTTGAAGTTCTTGTGAATTCATTGTTTCTGTTTTCTTTTTAAGACAATTAGTTTGACATGAACCTGTTGATACTTCAGCTGAGGCACAGCTGACATTGGCCCCTGACAAAATCAGTCATGCTGCCACAGAACACCACAAGTTACATTTTCTTGAGCAAAAGTATTGCAGTTTCACAATAAACACTTAATAGTTCACACTGACTACCTTGTATGGAGGCATTATCACAGGACGTTTTAGGCCAACCCATTCTCACTCCCAAGTCGTCACATATTGACGCGTTTCCAAGGTTCCCTCTACGTCTGATTTTGACGCGCAGGGTACCCCCGTCACGTCAGTTACTGACGAGATGGGGCGAAATCTGTTGTCATATTTTCTGAAAGTGTATAAAATGCGCGAAAACGACCGTTCCGAAGCCTGAAATTACCTTTGTTCACTTTAGACATCCTGTCCCTGACCGTAGTACGTAAAATTAACCATTTTTAGAAAATGTACGAAATTCACGTCAACATGTTCTAAAGCGTAAAATGACCAAATATTCACCATGGACATCCTACCCCTGATCCCAGTACCTAAACTTAACCATTAATCCTGATCCCTCATGTTAACCTCAGACCCCCGACCCAAAGACCCCTGGTGGCGCAACCCGGAAAAGCCGCGGGCGTCAAGGACTGACGCGAGGGGGGCACCTGATGCGTCAAAATACGACGCAGAGGGAACCTTTGGAAAAGCGTCAATATGTGACGACTTGGGAGTGAGAATGTGTAGTTTATGCAGGTGGTCCCAGGTTTAAAACTTTTTGTCAGTGCTTCCAACAGGTAAAGCGTTGAATATTACCTGGTTAGTTTTACACACTTTTAGCAGCTCTGTTGTCCTCCATCTATATTTTCAGTTACAGGCTGAGTCATTTCTACCTTCTCTCTGTCAACGCTCTCTGGTTTCATTTAAAAGAGCCAATTGTCAGATATTGTCCAAGATTAACCTTCAGGGTGTAGCTCGCTCACACCGAGGACCTATACACGTCATCATTTACCCAGAATGCTTTGCATGTAAATAAAATGGCCCCATCCGTGTAATATATTTTTAAACTTTTAGTTTAAAAATGATAAAAACTGGACATACTATAGTATTTTTACAGTTTGTATTTTAAAGTTAAAATATATGTTTATCAAATAAAGACTAATGTTACAACTAATCATGGATCCCTAAAGTAAAATCATCTTTAATGAGAAATGACAAAGCTGTAGTCATTTAGGTCAAACCTTGAAAATAACTTTATGTCGTTCATTAGATTTTCTGATAGTAGCTGAGATAAACCCCTGCAAACAGACAAATGTTTAAAAATTCCCGCCTACCTTTCTCCTCCTTAGTAATGTGTGATGAAGCTTGAATGGAAAGAAATGCACGGTCGATTAAATATCAGAGCGTTGGCACATTTATCCATGTATTTATGAAATAACGTTAATATTCCAGTGTTGACAGTGTTTTCTAATCCTGCCCACAGTGATGACTGGTGCGAGCTCGGGGTGCCAGCAGGGGGGCTGCCTGACCTGCTCGGACTACAACGGCTGCCTGTCCTGCAGGCCGCGCTTCTTCATGCATCTGGAGAGGATCGGGATGAAGCAGATCGGGGTGTGCATGACCTCCTGTCCCCCTGGCTTTTATGGCACTCGCTCCCCTGAGAGGAACACCTGCACGAGTGAGTCACACTGAGGACCAGAGTTTTAGTTGACTAAAATAAATAAAAACTGTAATAAAATGACAAAACAATAACTAACTAAAAATGTATAATCCTTTTACAAAACTAACTAAAACTAACTGAAATTATAGATAAAATATCCTTAGTTTTAGTGTTTGTCAATTTATTTTGAGACGTGGATCTCTTAAAATAATCGTCCAAGCTTTTAGTCGGCAAAATTGAGTTACACGGTTATTTTAGGAAGGTGTCACTATAATAAACTGCTTTAATTAGCAACCAAATAGCTGCTGYTTAGTTAACTCACAGGAACATCACAAGATTGAGGATGCATTGGCAAATATGCTTATTCAAACTATAAAAAATCTGGTACCAATTTACAATAAGGCTCCCCTTATAGATGGCTTATAAATAGTTATTAATTCATCTGTAAACACTTTATGAATCATTAAGAATTGTTTATTATGCATTCATGAAGGATGATTTGATTTGATTTATTTATTTAACAGGAAAAGATTATTAAAAATCAAGCCTGACTC